TCACGATAAAATGCATGCATAATCACCCCATCAAAAATGGAATGTCCCTTTCATACAACCTTGTACAAAAGGAGCCTCACTGGCTGGGCTTCTTTTCAAGGAAGGAAATGTTCTATCAGCACTCTGACAAAAGGGGACGTTATATTGTGTAAACAAATGCAGAATGAGTCAACAGAGTGCTGGAATACTGGACAATTTTAGACAATAGTACATTATACCTTCGAGAAATATGGCTCTGCAGAATTGATGATTTTTGAAACTCAATTGAGGCATTATCCAGCAGTTTGAGGTCAACTTTCCTCTGAAATTGCACCTGTATTTAGTCCCTCCCACAAATGCCTAGTCACTGACTCCTTCCTTCTGTTTGATAGTTTTTTGAGGCTGATCCATACCACTTGATATCAATATTTGACCCTGACGTCAGCTTCCAATCGCATATCCGTGCCATAACTTGGACCATCTAAAAATTTCGGAAAATTAAAACCAATGCACCAACTATCTCACCAGTCAATTATTTTAAGACCTATGTAGAAATCCATCAAGACCTGGGGGCGGGGGGTGCTTGTCAGCTCACTGTTCTAATATTTTGCTCAGTATCACTTCATTGGTCACAGTAATTTTCTTGAGTAACCCCTCCCTCTTCTTCCTGATTTACAGCTAGTTCTGGGATGTCTGGGTTGCAGGGTTATAGACCATTAGGTTACAGCCCCATTGTAGACTTGTGCTCCAGAACTAATGAAAATTTTCCAGTACAGCTTCAACATTGGTGTCTACCCAACGATGTGAAAAATTGTCCTGTACAGAAAAAAAAATTCCAATCCAGCCAATTATTGTCCGAACATTCTATTCTCAATCATTAATGAAGTGATGGAGATGTCACTGACAATGTTATCATGTGGAAATTACTCACAAATAATTTGCTCATCGATGCTAATTTTTGTTCTTCAACATTCCAGACCGCATTAAAGCCTTAGATAAAACATGGACAAAACAGCTGAATTCCAGAGCTGAGGTGTGGTTGAATGAATTTGACATCTAGGCAATTTGAAGGAAAGCAGGGGGAAAGCTCTCTGCTGGTAGAAGTCATAAAGAGCAGAAAGAAAATGGTTGTCATTGTTAGAGGTCAAACATCTCTGTTAAACAAAAATACAGGTTTAGAATATAAACAGATATAGAGGGCTCTTAAATAGATTTTCAAGTCTTTGGCAAAAGATTTGTTGAAAATTGAAGTGAGATCATGATGAAAACATCACTGCAGAGGTTCCTCAAGATCAACCATATTTAATTATTTCATCAAAGATCTTCCTTCCACTGCAAGGTTAGAAGTGAGGATATTCTTGGCTGACTACAGTGTTCATACCACTTGCAACTTCTTAGATGCAAAATTAGTAACAAGTGATGTTTGCACCATCCAAGTTCTAATTAATGATTGCCTCCAGCAAGAGAGGGTCCGACCATCTCCCCTCAGCATTCAGTGGTAATACAGTGCTGAATTCATCAACATTAACATCCTGGGATGATGGTTGGCAGTTCACCATTGATCATTGTGACTGCAATGGGCAGATCAGAAACTGGGAATTTTTGTTTTGTTCATAGGATGTGGGTGTCACGAGCTAAGCCAGTGTTTATTGCCCAAACCTAATTGTCCAAAGGGCCATTAAGAGTCAATAGTATTCCTGTGAGTATGGAGTCACATGTAAGCCATACTAGGTGAAGATAGCAGATTTCCTTCTGCAAAGAACAATTTGGCAATCAACAATGGTTACATGGTCATCTTTCTATTCCAGATTTATTTTGAATTTGATTTCACCATCTGCTTGAGGTTCTGTATTGCTACTCTAGTAAAATTATCATTATCCCATCCTTGGTTTCCTCTTCCAAAATCAAATAGGTATGCAATGATCTGGAAATGTGCTGTTTTCAATCTTCACAGTGCAATTATAGACCAGTGAGCCTGACATTAGCGGTGGGCAAGATGTTGGAAAGGATTCTGAGATACAGGACTTGCATGTATTTGGAAAGGCAAGGACCGATTAGGAATAGTCAACATGGCTTTGTGCATGGGAAATCATGTCTCACTAACTCGATTGAGTTTTTTGAAGAAGTGATGAAGAGGATTGATGTGGGCAGGGTAGTGGACGTTATTTGTATGGATGTCAGTAAGGCATTTGACAAAGTTCCACATGGTAGACTGATTAATAAGGTTAATCACATGGACTACAGGGAGAACTATCCATTTGGTTACAGAATTGGCTCAAAGGTAGAAGACAGAGGGTGGTGGTGGAGGGTTGTTTTTCAGATGGGAGGCCTGTGACCAGCAGTGTGCCGCAAAGCTCAGCGCTAGGTCCACTGCTTTTTGTCATTTATATAAATGATTTGGGTGTGAATATCAGAGGTTTGATTAGAAAGTTTGCAGATGACACCAAAATTCATGGTGTATGGAAAGCGAAGAAGGTTACCTCTGAGAACAATGGGACCTTTATCAGATGGACCAATGGGCTGAGGAATGGCAGAGGTGTTGCACTTTGGTAGAGCAAATCAGGGCAGGACTTATACACTTAATGGCGAGGTCCTGGGGAGTGTTGCTGAACAATGAGATCTTGGAGTGCAGGTTCATCGGTCCTTCAATGTGGAGTCACAGATAGACAGGGTAGTGAAGAAGGGGTTTGGTATACTTGCCTTTATTAGTTATTGCATTGAATATCAGAGTAGGGAGGTCAAGTTGCAGCTCTACGGGACATTGGTTAGGCCACTTTTGGAATACTGTGTTCAAATGTGGTCTCCCTTCCAAAGGAAAGATGTTGTTAAACTTGGAAGGGTTCTGAAAAGATTTACAAGGATATTGCCAGGGTTAGAGAATTTGAGCTATAGGGAGAGGTTGAATAGGATGGAGCTATTTTCCATTAAGTGTTGGAGATTGAGGGGTGATCTCATAAAAGCTTATAAACTCATGAGTGGCATGGATAGGGTGAATAGTCAAGGTCTTTTGCCCAGGGTAGGGGAGTCCAAAACTAGAGGGCATAGGTTTAAGGTGAGTGGGGAAAGATTTAAAAGGGACCTAAGGGGTAACTTTTTCATGCAGAGCGTGGTGTGTGTATGGTATGAACTGTCGAGGGAGTGGTGGCGACTGGTACAATTACAACATTTAAAAGGCATCTGGATGGGTATATGAATAGGAAGGATTTGCTGGCAAATGGGATTAGAATAATTTAGGATATCTGGTCGGCATGGACGAATTGGAGTGAAGGGTCTGTTTCCACACCGTACATCTCTATGACCCTATGACCAGACATTATGGTAGTTATTTTGAAAATGGGAGAAATTGCTAACCGGGGCCTGCTGTCACAGACGCAGTGTGAACGAAGATAAGGTTTCAGTTCAGAAAAGTGTTGATCTTCTTATGGAAACCACTGTAGCTATAATCATGAGATAAAAGCTAACAAAAAATCCTGATTCTTTCAAGGGATACAAAGTGGGAAGTACAGGTAGTTGAAGTGGATTCCAGGGTCAAGATATCCTTTGTGTCCCTGAGCTAGAAAATTAGCTGGGGTTTCCATTCCTAACTCCTATCTGATGAGCATCATTGTAACAGTGTATGGAGATACCCATGAATGACTAGGCTGCAATGTTATGCATGGTTTAATGGGCCATTGCAAGGTCAGTATCTGATAGCTTCTCTTTCTGAAAGAGTGATGGAAATAGAGACTTTAGAGTACTTGATGAGCAGTCTGAGTTAAAATCACACCAAGAGAAATTATGAAATTGTACTCAAGGAATCTGGTCACTTTTGGGATGCTGGACTGTTACCAAAATCCAGTTGGTTCACTTCCTGACAACCTGTCAGGTCTGGTCTGGCCTGCACATAACTACTTCAGCACTATGTGGTTGACTCAATGACTTTGGAGAAAACTATGCTGGTGCTATGGCAGCCATATTGTTCACATTCCAAAAGCCATGTTTTAAAGAAAAGAGAAAGACAAACCATCTGAAAAAGTTGGCCATGGACAGACACATGTTCGGACAGGGAATGTAAATAGGGGTATGGAATTCAAAGAGATATAGAGAACTCTTAAAACTATACTAGTACTTGAAAAAAGATCTGTTGAAAATTTAAATGAGATCACGATGAGGAAATTGCTATGCTTTCGGCTAATACCTAGATTAATGCACACATTTTCAAGCAGCTGGAATCTTGTGCAAAGCTGATTCCCATTTGGTTGTTATCTTGGGTGGAAACTAATTATGCTCACAGGTCACTGTGTTGTATAATGATTTTAAAGGATTTTGTCAGCTCTTCTAATAGTCCAATGGATGTTGTCTTGGTGCTATGCTGCAGAAAGTCCCAGGTTCAATTTCAGTCTGTTAGGGTGCTTCAAATTTCTTTGTACATTCTAAACTTTGGAGAGAAATATCATCTCAGATTCTTATTTCTGATGAGTGTCCTGTATTTTCTGTCCATGTCGGAAAGAGGCTACCTGTAGATGTAAAGTGAGCAAAGAATGTGCCTTATCTGTGTGCTGCCTGGGGTGGAATAGCTCTCTGGATTCAGACGTGAGAAACCACAATGGCAAGATAGTCAAGGAGATCAGCAACAGGCATAGATTATTTTCCCCATCACACTGGAGAGACACTATTACAGTATATGGCTGTGAGATATTACCACATGGCTGTGATGCAATGATGACTTTTAATGTGAAGTCTTTGACAAACAATACGCTGCAGAGGCTTATTAACGGCTTATTAAAGAATAACCGCTTTGGGGGACTGGTAGTGCCCATAGAGTGTCTCTAAAGTCAAATATCAAGGATTACAGCAGAGTAGAAGAATCAGCAGCGGTCGGAATAGAAAACGAGTGAATGTGAGTGAATTGACTCTTGAGCTCAATCTGGAAAGTGCTGGGACCTCGTCGTAGGGGAAACCGTTCTCAGTAATGGGATCATCAGTCATGTGCACCTCATGTCATCACGTGTAAACCTGAACGAATTGGCAGGCGCCGAGAGAGACGCGAGCTTCTGGGGAACTAGATAAAGCGGGTGCGTAGTGCCCTATTGCATTGTCACTGCGCGAAGTTCTTGTTGGCGGAATTTACTTCAGCAACTTGTTCATAGCCGTCATGGATTGCGGTGTGTTAACCTCCAAAGGTGTTTTGCTGTTCCTTAGCCTTATTTTCTGGGTGAGTTTGTTTTGATTAACCTCTCTATTTTGAACAAATACAGTCAAGTTTGTGACATCGGCTGAAGCGCGATCTTCGAGCGAGGGCGTTTCGGAATGTTGTTTTCCGGGACTCTACTTGCAGGAAGTGTCGTTCACTGTTACCAACTCTAATCCTTACTCAAACCTTAATTTTTTTTTTGTTGTTGTTTTTCACCTGTCTTGTACACAACGTCAATCATCAAAAAACTCAAACTTTGAGTCGAACCAGTGCGTGTCATTATGGCTCTAAAATGTACGTCCAATACGTCAGCTTTCAAGTGTTGTAGTTCTTTAATTGGGGGAATAAGCAATTAATATTTTGCTAACAAGCTTTCATTGTTTTGTTTATGCTGGAATGGAGTAACCAGTCTGCTTTCACCAAACCATTCCGATCGGCCTACTTTTAAGCAGACTGCTGCGTTAGTGTGCTCCGCCCACACCTGAGAAAACAACTGTGGCTGCACATGTTCGACAGGGTAGGTGGGCGTTGAACCCAGATCACCTGGCCCAGAGGGAGGGACACAACGGTAATGCCGCAACACTTTCCCAAGGTGTTCTACCTAAACTGGTTAAATTTAGTGGAACACGAAATAGCTCAAGAGTAGGCCCTTTAGCCCGCAACGATGCTATTTTAAACTAATAGCTTCTCTCTGCATGTGGTCTGTATCCCTCTCTTCCTTAACAATTCATGTCTGTCTAACTGCTGCTAATAGTATCTGCTTCTGGCAGTGTCCTAGGTACCTGTCACCCTCTCTTGGAGGACATAGGCTTAAGACAAGATGGCTGATCTATGCCTTTTTTGGTATTTGTCTACCAGATGGCCCCTCAGTCTCTGCTCTTGTAGAAACAACCCAAGTTTGTCCAACCTCTCTTGGAACCATTAAACCAAACAGACAACCCCCCCTCCTGAGCAAGGTAACTACATTTCCCAAACTACACTTGCCTCAAATTACACTTGGATTTGTTCCAGCCCCTGTGGTGTGCCCTGTTTAATGCCTAGAGTGTACTAGTGGATGCCTGGATGTGGGTGTAACTAGAAGTACCTCTTTTAATGAGGTAAATTCAATCTCTAACCAATCTAGCAAAATAGCTAAATTAATAGCTAGAGATAGTAGGAACTGCTGATGCTGGAGAATCTGAGATAACAAGGTATGGAGCAGGAAAGCTGATGTTTTGGGTTGTGACTCTTCTTCAGAAGAAATTTTCCTGAAGGGAAGAGTTGCAACCCAAAATGTCAGCTTCCCTGCTGTGTTCATCCAGTTCTACACCTTGTTATCTTAAATTAGTAGCTAAATCAATTTTCAAACCTAGTGCCAACATTCCTTGGGTGTGCTGAATTGATCAATCAATTGCATAAACTTAAATGGGAATTCTTGCCAATATTGCTGCCAGTTATCTGTAATTAAAACTTGAAGTGCAGGTGAGACTTTGTTTCTACCACTACCTTAGAAACATATCTTGGTAGGCTGTTCGTACTGAAATGAAGCTTGAACTGATCCTACCCTGGAAACAATGGCTTGCATGTTTCCCTCTTCTATGCCCTTCCAAGTCAATATTTATCATAAATGTGTTGATGGTTTTTCTCAGTGCATAAGGCCTGATGTATTGAGGTGATGGCCGCAGAGGAACTTGCATGTTGGCTCCAGTCCAACCTGTTGTAAATAGAAATGAAAGTAGCTTCCTGAAGTTCAGTTTCTCTATTACACTGTCATTTCTACCTCTGCTCCCCCCCCCCCCCCCACCATGTGCTAGTCTGTTGTAACTTCAAATCTTGGTCAGATTGTGAATGGTGACATGTGACTGCATAAATGTCAGAACTTTAACTTTGTGGATTGGTGATACTTCCTGAGATCAAAGGGCCAAGCAGATTACCTATATGCATGAATTAAAAGCAACATTCTTATTGACTCCCTCAAGAATGGTTAAAGCAACATAAACAAGCTCCTCTGGGCGAGAGGAGGGAAGACTACTTGATAACATGTCGCCCATGACATGGGCAGCTAAGACTTCAGATCATTCTGTTTCTGCAGGACAGGGCAACAAGAGCTAGTTTGTTTTAAAAGTTAAATCAAAACTTTCATTAAGAGTTTAATGATGACCATGAATCTGATCCCTGGGGGGAGGGGGAACCCATCTGGTTCACTCCTTCCCTCCCTGTAGGGAAGGAGTGTGCCATCCTTGCCTGGTCTGGCCTACATGTGACTATAGACCAGCTGTAACGTAGTTGACTCTGATCTGTGATGATGGATGGACAATAAATGCTGCCTAGCCAGCAATACACATCCTGTGAATGAATAAAAAGTTTTCAATACAACACTAACTAACAAAGCAAAGTACAAAATGATAAGCAAATTTGTATTTCCAGATTTAGTGCTAAGATTACTTATGGAAACTGAATGCAGTTGGAGCAACAGAAGTCATCCTGTAAATGGAAGATTAGTCCTTCACAAGGACTAACTCACTGAAGCTCCTCTGACAGCCCTTTGTTTTGAAGGCTCATGACACCCCTAACCTAAAGTCTTAGGTTGCTAGTGCTGTTGTCTATCCCTTGCAAGTTCCTTTCAAGCCCCACACCACCCTGACTTTGGTCTATATATTATCCTTTTTTACTGTCAGTGTCAAAACCCTGAAGCTGGCTGCCTTCCCAGCAGCACTGGATATCCTCCCAAGGGCTGACCTTTTTTAGAGGCTTAAAATCATGAGGGGTGTAGATAGGGTGAGTAGCCAAGGGCTTTCCCCCAAGGTAGGGGAGTCCAGAACTAGTGAGCATAGACTTGAGGTGAGAGGGGAAAGACATAAAAGGGACCCAAGGGGCAACCTTCTCATGCAGAGGGTGGTGCATGTATAGAATGAGCTGCCACAGGCAGTGGCAGAGGCTGATCCAATTACTACACTTTCAAAGCACCTGGATGGGTGCATGAATAAGAAGGGTTTAGAGGGATATGGGCCAAATGCTGGCAATTGGGACTAGATTAATTTAGGAGCCTTGGTTGGCATGGATTTGGGCTGAAGGGTCTACTTTCCTGCTGAGTTGAACAATATATGGATTAATGACTTAATGGCATTAGCATGTGGTCATTCATGTTAAAAATATTCCTTTTTTGCTTTATAAATCACATGATTGCTCATTTCTGAAGCTCAACACATGATCTTTCTTTTGCCAAATTGTGTCATTTGACTTTGTCATGATGTCCCAGAACCCACTTTCAATATTAAGAATGCTTGAGGCCTTAACAGCATCATTCTAGGTACCAGTTTATTGCTACTAGTCTTTTATTCTAGGTGCTTGAGCGGAGAAGGAAGGAGAGGAACTTTGTAGTATTTTAAGTTAAATCAACACTTTAGTTAAGATAGTGGGTCCTGTGTGTGCATTTGCTTGATGGTTTCTTGATCTTCAACAAGACAACTGTTCCTGTGGCTTCGAAGGTTAAGGATAAACCACAAGCTAAAATTAATGCCACCACCATACACTAGATGGTGAGCAGTTTTAAAGGCACTTAATTTTTTTGACCTTATTCAATAGAAAGCTGTTAGAAGCATCAAAGCAGACTCTATTTAAAATGGCCTATGAGCATTGAGACTCCATCTATACAAGTTTAACTTCAGCTAAATCAATGCCTCACGATACTAAACCCATCAGTAGTGAAGAGGCAAATATTTTACTCCCATCTTGCAGATGCTCCTGTCTTTCAATTCTCAAGAATAACTGGTCTCCATTGACTAAGGTTAACTTGCAGACTAGCTTCTTTACCTTGGAAGACTCAATCCAGGCTCCATGAGATGGGGCAGAAAAATCCAGTGAAGTTGTAACTGCACCATTTGGAGCTCTGAATTTACCCAGAGCTGGCTGCATGCACCAAATTCAGGAAGGAGATTGGATAGAAGTAGGCAACCACATGAAGACTAGATCCCACCATAAGGATCATTACAGTATATCTTTAAATGCATAATTGTTTCCTAGGATTAGGAGCAAGGACCAGTGTTGTCAAGCAGGGTCCTGAGGTAACTTGCCCTTTTACAAGGGTAACCTAGAAAAGATAGTGACTTGTAAAGATGTTTCTGTGGAGGAATCTTGAATCATAATTATGCTGCAGAAGGAAGCCATTTGGCCCACTTGCACCAGCTTGGAGCACTTTAACTTGGTGCCATTAACCTGCCTTCTCCCCATTTCCCTGCACCTTTTTTATGCAAATCATCTATTGCCTTCTGTCTCAATACTTAACCAGTGTATTTTTGACCCTAATTGTGCTTTTCTTCCCCTCTTGTGTAGCTAAAAGAAAGATGGGGCAGTTCTAACCACTAAGACTTCAACTTACAAAACATTGATATACTTTATTAGCCAGGTTTGCTTGCTACAGGTGTGACTTAGTCTTGTATTTTGTCCTGCTTTTATGAAGAAGTTGAAGTGGTGCCTAGTCTGTTCTAAGCCAGTGAAGTAAATGGTTTGAGGCCTTGGATTTTTAAAGCTAGAACAATAGAAACAGCATAAATGGGTGGAATTGGACTCTTACAGAACCAGGGTCTTAGTTTAGCTTTCAGTTGTTAGGGTTTTGAAACTGGACCTGGAAGCTGTCTTTCTATCACAGCTAAAAGCTGGGATTCTCTCTACCAGAATTTTCTCATGGTTTTTCCACCTGGACTAGTGAAACATTGCATGTGAGACATCTATTTTACTGAATTTGCCCTTGCCAAGGATGTGTTTTATGGGATGTTGCTATATTGAAACAGCTGCTGTTGTAGCTAACAATCTAACTTTTTTCCAATGAGTATTCCAATTCTTTGTATTTTTAACTGGGTGTGAAAATGCATTTTGCTTAAAGCCAAACAGTGTAACAATCTCACTACATCTTAAACAGCACCTTGTACTTGCCACTTTAAATACCTTTTAAAGTTAAGGTCTAGGCTTTCCCCTTGATATATTTGAAGGGGACTTGGTCTGGTCCATAACACAAACTGCTGAAATCCAGAGATGTGACAGTACAATAATTGAAGTTGTACTATCCTTGGTTAGCTTGTCAGCACTCAGTAACTGGCTTAAGTTTGGATCCATTTTCTCTACTACAGAATGTGACCCTTTTAGGACAAGGGCCAACAAATGCACCTGGATTGACCAGAAGATGACAGCTGCCTTTTCAGCTGTTTAGCTCTAATTTGGTCACTGAGTTGAAGAAGTCTACCTCTGGAGACCAATAATTGCAGGGCACTCTCGAGCTAGCCATTAAATTGAGTATCTGTAACTTTGTCCCTATATTCAAACATCAGGATTAGCTCCTTTTGCTAAACTTCCTTTGAATGAACACCACTACCTATATACCAAATCTACACTCTATTTGGAAGAATAGTAGACATTTTATACCAACAAACCCAGGAACATCTCTCCTCCCCCTCTGCAATTGATACACCTCCTGTCTTGAGGAGCTAAATCTAATATGGCTACAAGAATTGCTTGCTCTACTGAATTGTATAATGTCAAACTTCCATCTACAATGTGATCAGTGATTGCAACATTCAGAAATGAGCACCATCCGCACAGCATTTTGTTTCCAGTGCTAGGGATCTTCATATCCAGTAGAGTTGCCAACTCAAAGATGGACCTGGAATCTCATGCATATTATGCACACCTTAATGTCATGAGCACCTTTATTTGTAGTGTTCTTTGAAATCCCTTTGCTTTCAGCCCAAAAATCAGTCTCTTATGGGGTGGGAGGAGGAGGGTATGAGGGAGGGGGCACAAGAGCTCAGTGTACATGTTAATCAGTTGGTAGCCCTGCTGAGCATACCAGATATAAGATGTTATGTATACACTTGACCGTGCCATGGTAGGCTGGTTGCCCTGTCTCTCTCTCCTTTCTTGTTTTTGTTTGTTTTTTTTCCCCACCATCACATGTCACCTGGATTTATTAAAACTCCAGGTTGCTTAGGCATAGAGACTTGCTGACCAGAGAATTAGGGCTACAATTGTAACTTCAGTAGTGCAACTAGCACTTATTTGCTTTTAACAAGTATTTAACTGCAATTTTTCTCTCTCTCAGACTGCAGGGGCTGTTCTAGCTTATGTGGGAGCCATCTTGTTATCCACCTATAAGAACTACACAAACTTCTTTGAGGACAAATATGTTGTGTTGCCAGCTTTGGTGATCATTGCTATAGCCCTTGTAATGTTTCTCATTGGTGTCATTGGATGCTGTGCAACTCTAAGAGAGTCTCGCTTTGGATTGGGATTGGTGAGTTTTGCTAGATCTGGAATCTTTGACACAAAGGGTTTCTTTTGTACAACGGGTTTTACATTGGGCTTACTGGCCTGTTTGTGTGAAGGCAAAATTGTGTAGCCAGCAAACTATATAATGTTCTGTTACCAAGCTAAGCTTGACCAGTGCTCGGTTTGTGTTGTAATGTGTCCCTCCCCTCCCTCTCGAATTGAGGCAGAGGGAGGAATCATGGCTGATTGGCATCCCAGTGCTAGCAAGAAAGTTTGCCTTCTTAAACACATGGAGAGATTTGATTACCTTGTCTCAAGTATTCTAGCCTCATTGCAGAGTATATCTGAAACTGGTTTTCTGTTACAGCAGAAAAAAAAAACCAGATTCTTCAAATCTTAAAGATGAGAGAATTTTTCAAATGCTGAATTACAAGAAATTGTAAACTACAGTCTGATCTATACACCACCTTCCTAAACTTGCAATTCATCAGTTTATGATCCTAGGTTTTACTATTGGACAAATCAGATTCTAGGCTGCAGTCTGGCTCTACTTTAATTCAGTGGTCTTTCACTGAAAAGCACAAGTGGGTTTAGTTAAGCTTTTTACATAAAAGGAAAAAGATAAATTAGAACAACCTGTTTATATAAGGTGACAAATTTAACAACATGTTAAACTATAACTCCACCTATATCAACACCACCTCTAATACAGTACTTGCCAGAGTTTGCTTTCTTTTGTTTTTAGGTCATCTTGACAGACTTTGTTGTTTTTTAAATTTGGTGACTGAACTTCAAATATTTGTTTCTGCTTTTGACTCCTTCAGAGTTCTCTTGAACATTAATGATCTGAGCTTTGAAATTTCAAATTGAACTTTGTCTTATTCAGAATTAAATCAATCTGCCACTCCTCCACCTGTATCTGCAACTGAAGTGTCCTTTAGACTTCCTTCTACACTATCCACAACACCACAGATCTTTTGTATTGTCTGGAAACTTGCATAACCACCTATCTGTTTTCATAAGTCACTTGTAGATCATGCAATAAAGATCCTTGCAGAACACCACTAGTCAAACACCTTCAGCCTGAAACAACCTTCCAACACTAGCTTTTGTCGTCTTTGGGCAAGACAACTCTGAATTTGTGCAACAAGTCACTGGATCCTGTGCATCTTAATCTTTTGGATGGGCCCACCATGAGGGACTTTGAAAGTCTTACTCTACCCACAAAGACAACATCCACTGCACTACCCTTGATCATAACTATTGTTACCACCTCCAAGTCAATAAGTTAGTAAGACATGACCTACCCTGCACAGGGCCATGCTATTCCCTAAGAATGCTCTCCAATACTTCCCAACCACCAAGGGGAGAGTCACCAGTCTATAGTTTGCTGGATTATCCCTTGTTTCTCTTAACAAAGAACAACATGAACTAGTCAGTCCTACAGGACCCTTCTAGTGGCTAGTGAGGATACCAAGATCTTGGAGCCCCAGCAATCTCCTGCTCTTGCCTCTATAACCAGGGGTGAACACCATTAGGCCCTGGGAACTTATCCACCTTATTTCTTACACACCAACACCACTTCATTCTTAACCTCTGCCTGAGTATATTAGCATGCTCCACACAAATCTGTCCTCGCCATTCTTCTGAGTGAATACTGACAAAGTACCCATTTTAGGATCTGACCCACATCCTCTGCCACAAGGTAAAAGTTACCTCCTTTGCTTTGTGGTCCTGCCCTCCCTAGTTATCACTTAATGATCTATGAAGTCCTTGACTTTTAACTGTACTTGCCAACATCATTTTATGGTCTCTCTTTCTTGTTCTTATCCCCTGCTTGAGTTATTTCCTGCATTCTTCACATTCCTCATGGGGCCCTGTTTGACTTTGAGCTTCTAAACTTTGCATATGCTTTTCCTTTATGAATTCAGTCAACTTTTTTGATATCCAAGGGTCCCTTAGCTTTCCATCCTTGTCCTTCCTCCTTACTAGAACATGTTGGTCCTGAACTCATCAGTGGGTCTTTTAAACAATTCCCACATGTCAAATGTAGATTTGCCTGATACCAGCTCCTGATTAATACTGACATAACTTGCTTCCACCACCCCCAAAAATTAGTGCTTCCTGCAAGGTCTTGAATTGCCCTTCTTCACAGCTATTGTGAAACTTGAAGTTATGATCAGTGTTTCCAAAATGCTCTCCCACTGAAAGGTCAGTCAGCTGGCCAGGCTTAGCCAAAACAAGGTCCAGTATGGCCACTTTAGTTGGACTGTGAATGTAGTTTTGAGACCCTCTTGGATGCACTTAAATTCTGCTCTGCCTAAGCCTTTTGCTCCAGAGCAGTCTGAGCCAATATTGGGAAGTTAAATGTTGCCTACTATGAGACTTTTTATTGCATCTTTCCATAATCTCAATATTTGTTCCTCAATGTCCCAGCTGTTGGGTGAGCCTATAAGTATACTGTCAGTGACTGCATGTTCCTCATTATTGAGCTTGACCCATGTTGCCTCAGTGCATGAGGCTTAAACTGTACACAAGTGGATTTTAAGCTACATATCTGATCTGTCTTGTCCATTGTTCTTGGAATTGTAATCTTAACTGAACACCATCTAACTTTACAGTAATAACATTTTTCTTTCTTAGTTCATGCTTGTACTGTTGATCATCTTTGCTGCAGAAGTTTCTGCCTTCGTTCTGGGATTTCTCTACAGAGAAAAGGTACTTTAGTCAACTGTTTGAATTTTTGACAACTGTATTTTCATTGTCTTATGCTAAATGTCCCCATCCTGTCTAGTTTTTTTGTCTAGAGGCTTGATCACTTGATCTCTTTAAATGGGGTCCTCAGGGGAAACAAACTCCATGGGTGACAAAATTTGCATTTGTGACTTGCTGGTATCGATTACCAGCAAGCTCTGGATCAGTTGCTGTAGTACTGCCAAACTCCAGGCAGTATAGAAATGTGGCTTCTACCCAAGATATTCTGAAATTATAGCACAAATAATCATTAGGAATACTTGAGGCCTAATCAATTTTAGGAGTGGGATTCCTAATTAACATGACAAATGTTGGTTTATTGTGCTGCTTGGTCAATTGTGACAGACTTTAGTGGGATTATGGTATGAGTGGTGAATGGTTGACTAAATTTTAGCTAATAGTTGTGATAATTTCCTATAGGTGCATGAAGGTGTGGATAAGACAATGACTGCTGTTTTTTCAAAATATGATGGAAAGAATAGTGAGAGTAAGACTGTGGACTTCTTGCAGAAACAGGTATGCCTAGCAGCATGTTTTGATGCCTGATTTTAGAGGTGTCACTAGGATTTGTGCAATGTTACTACCACTAAGCAAGATCTTGCTTGTCTAGTCAGTCATGTGTATTGATGCTGAACTTTGCAACTGGAAATTGACTTTGTTTTTCTTTTTCTTTAAGATGGCATGCTGTGGGTTGATGAACTACACCTCCTGGGAAACCACTAACTGGTTCATCAAAGGGAACAGGACTCTCCCCCTCAGCTGCTGCAAGCATCAATTCTCCAACTGCACAGGAAGCCCAAGTCACCCTGAACTCCTCAATACTGCAGTATGGCTTCTTTATTTCTAATACCTTGCTTCCCTTTGCCTGTTTTTTCTTTACTATAGGTTAGCTGCAATATAGTCTCAAGAATCATGTTGTCCTAATACTTGTCTTTCTGTGGTGAATTGGTGATCTAACTAATGGGATTTGGGGTAAGAGGAGGTTGGAAAATCTCTCAAATTATGGTTTGCATCTTCAATGTAATCCTGTTTCCTCAAGTTTGTTTTTTCTTTATGGTGTTCCTCATTGAATCCACCCAACAGCTTTTTTAATTTCAATGTCAATTAGTTGTGGTTAGTTGGCTCACCAAGCTCGTTCATTGTTCCACAGACACTTCTTTACCTTGCTAGGTAGCATCAGTGCAGCCTCAGAAGCACTGTTTTCTCCCACCTGTGACTTAAACCAGTCCATTGAGCTGGATTACCTCACTTCTGGCTTTCTTTTGCAATGGTTTATATGGGGTCAAGTTCCATGTGTTTATTGATGGCTTTCTTTGTAGACTAACAGCCTTCTAGGAACTCCTGTGCTTGTCTCTGCTTTGCTTGTACCAATTGAATCGGTGGTTCTTCTGATCCATGTGGATGAACACTCTTGTCAATTGGCTACAAAAAGACAAACAATACTCACACCTCCATCCACATGGATCAGGAGAACCACCAATTCAATATTGCATTCAATCCACTTAGATGGACCAAAGGGTCTGTTTACATGCTGTACAGCCTATCCATAACCAGATATCCTGAATTTAATCTAATCTAGTCCCACTTGGTCCATATCCCTCAACACTCCTACTTGTATACTCATTGGGGGAGATGATGACCTAGTGGTATTATTGCTGGACACTCAATTCAGAGACCCAGATAATGTTCTGGGGACCCAGGTTTGGATCCTGTCATGGCAGACAGGGGAATTTGAATCCAATAAGTATCTGGAATTGCATCTCATGATGACCATGAACCCATTGCCAATTGTTGGCAAACCCATCTGGTTCACTAATGTCCTTTTAGGGAAGGAAACTGCCATCCTTACCTGGTCTGGCCTATGACTCCCAGACCCACAGCACTGGTTGATGCTTCACTGCCCTCTGGGCAATAGGGAGTGGGCAACAAATGCTGCCTGGCCAGCAACACCCTTCATTCTGTGAATGAATAAAGAGGAAACCCATCCAGATGACCAAGTGTTGTAATTGAACCTGCCTCCATCACTACTTCTGGCAGCTCATTCCAAACAACCTTCTGGAAAGTTCCTGCAAATTATTGTCACTAGCCTAATTTTGTGATAATCAGCAATTGCAGAATTCTGCTTGAGTCATTCATTTGGATTAGATGAACACCATCATCTAACTTTCAAGAGAATCTGCTTTTCCTCTGGGATGACTGGCTTTGGAAGGAGAATTTGTAATTCAAAGCTTTGGGCACTTCAGCATTTTAAACTCGTGTTGCTTATTGTGTCAAATAACAAACTTTCAAAGCCTTGAGTCTGTTTTTAGTGCCTCTGGAAATACCTGAAACCTTTATGTTAAGAGCTGGCCAGACAGGAAGGATGGCAAGTGTTGTTGGTTTTTAAGCAACAAGAAATTTTAATGAAACTGGCCACCATTGAGTGACTTTTCAGTTGTTTTAAAATTTGAATTTCACATTCTCCTTCCTATGTTAGGATTTGAACTGTGCTCCATGGTTAGCCACTTTTGACTTGGTGACACTTGACACTACACTCTCCACAAATGGGATGAAAGTTCCTTCCTGAGACTTGTCAGGAAAACTAACTCTAACCCAGGCATTGGGCCATTAGGGTAGAAATTCCTGTGCAGCATTGGAAGTTGGTATCAAATTTTGTAATGGCCATTTCAAAGACTAATTAAAATTTTCAACAATTGTATTAACTTTATTTCTGAAAAGTATCTGGTTTTTTTCACAGGGATGTGAGATGAAGTTGGAGACTGGCCTTGAATCCATTTTGAGTTATGCCATGCTAGTTATTCTGGGATTTGCCATAATCAAGGTAGAGGTTTCATTTTTGAATCCAGCTCTTTGATCTAGAATTAAAAGATTCATTCAAATAACTTTTGAAGAGTTCTCTAAGACATAGGAGCAGAAATTAGGCCATTGAGTCTGCTGTCATTATCATGGTTAAGTTCCTCAACCACATTCTGCTGCCTTCTCCCTGTAACCCTTGACAATCGTGAACCTATCTATCTCAGTCTTGAATGTACTCAATGACCTGGCCTCCACTGCCTTCTGTGGCAGTGAATTCCATAGATTCACCACTCTCTGCCTGAACTTTCTCCTCTCCATTCTAAAAGGTCTTCCCTTTACTCTAAGGCTGTGCCCTCGGGTCCTAGTCTCTCCTCCCAATGGAAGGATCTTCCCAACATCCACTCTGTCCAGGCCATTCAACATTCTAAGTTTTAATTAAATCCCCACTCATCCTTCACTCCAATGAGTATAGTCCCAGTGTCCTCAAACATTCCTCATATGTTAAGCTTTTCATTCCTGGGACCGTTCTTGTGAACCTGTGCCAGGGCCAGTACATCCTTCCTGAGATATGGGGCACAGAACTGTGCACAATACACCAAATGTGGCCTGACCAAAGCCTTAAAGCCTCAGGAGTATATCCCTGCTTTTATATTTGAGTCATCTCAATGAATGCCAACATTGCATTTGTCTTCCTGACTATTGAGTCAATCTGCAAATTTACCTTGAGAGAATCCTGGACTAGAACTCCCAAGTCTCCTTGCATGTCAGACTTCTGAATTTTCTCCATTTTAAAAAATAGTCTGCTTTTGTTCTTCTTACCAAAGTGCATGACTTTCACACATTGTACTCCATCTGCCACTTCTTTGCCCACTCCCCTAACCTGTCCAAATCCTTTTGCAGCTTCCCCACTCCTCAACACTACCTGTCCCTCCACCTATCTTTGTATTGTCTGCAAACTTAACCAGACTGCCCACAGTTCCTACATCTAGATCACTAATGTATGAAGCGAAAAGCTGTGGACCTAACACTGACCCTTGCAAAACACCACTTGTCACCCAGCTGCCATCCCAAGAAAGACTCCTTTATCCCTACTCTGCTTTCTGCCAGACAGCCTGATTATTCAGGAAAGAAATACAGCTGACTTTTTTAAATTCCAATTTGATCAACTTGCTGCCCTATCTAGTGGAGTGGGTGAACTTAAAGCTAAAGAGCAATTGAAGGTGCTGTAACCATGAGCAGACGTCAATCTGATGTGATTGATGCAATTGAGGGGTGTCTATCATATTGTATTCTTCAATGTGGCTAGACTATCCTTGTGGAAGAGAAGTCTTACTTTAATTGACCTGGTCAGATGTTATAACCCTCTGGAATACAAGGGACTTGAGTTTCCTGACTCAGGCAGGACACTACCACTGCACCAAAGAGCCCTTTGAAGGGGAAACATCTGGCTGACAAGTGACTGCAGCTGTGGCCCTAATGTGGCAAATACAAGTTTAAGGGATTAGATTTTTTGCTAGGTTGCAACACTAGCCCCTCATCTACTGCAAGAAGGCACCTTCATTTTTCTTGGCAGTTTAAGCAACAGGAATTTTTTTCAAGTCTTCTGAAATTCCACCATATAATGAGTGGCCTCAACACTGGGGTCTTAATTAGCTACTTGCCTTTAATACAACCTGCCAATCTCACTGCTGGAGGAGTATTCCAGCATGCTGACTAGTGAAGGGGAAACTGCTTGCATCCTGGTCTCTATTCTACCACCCCCAGTTGTAGTAATTGTCTGTAGTAATCTTACTGCCACTTTCTACAAGTTTTTATAAACAAGAATATGCTTAGTAAGGATAACTAAATTTCAATTTTTCTTCACCAGTTTTTTGGAATGATCAGCATCTGTGTAATTAGCTGCAGAGAAAAACAAACAGATTACCAACCACTTCCTTCATCTGGAATATATGCATGAAAACTTCCTGGAAGACATCAGCTATTAACTTGGTGAAACCTCACACTTAATTGTTCAGACCCACCAAACTGAATTGATAGATTTCATTTTAATGGAAAATATACCACCACTTTTGCATCTGTACAGTTTGCAAAGTGGTGTACTTTGCAACAAGAACATTCAATGCAGGTTACAATCTCTAATACAATACTTGTCTCTTCAGTTCATAGTTTTTGATGTAGCTTTGTTGCAACTTGGAACACAAGAATTACAACCATGTACACTCTTCTAAATGTATAAAAATATAACAAATTATAATGCTGATTTGATCTAAGCAAACAATTTCTCTCGGGTGCGGGTGCAAAGAATAGGGGTTTAACCACAATTTTGACTACTTTTGAATGAATGGCTTTGATTTTTGCTTTTCCCTGCTTGATATGGGTCTAGTCTTGTCCACCAGTGTGGATCTGTTTTTTATTTGTTTTATTGCATTTGAATACAGCTGCAATCAGCCACTTTCTTGGTTTTAAATAACTATAAAATCTTCCTGTGGTCACTACACTAGTAAATGCATGTAAGAATTTCTTTAACAATGGTTAACTTTCAAAAGTATTCAATTTCTACTTCAACTGTTTATGCTGTCAAATCAGCTATTGGTGGTCCAGCTGTTCAGATTTGAAATTCTTAGTTACAGATGACTTAATCTTGTCAGCTCCAGGGTAAATGTAAGCTTCTAACAGCTCTTTAAATCTGTGCATCCTGTTTTTAAATTCAATTTCCCTTATTCAAGATACCAGTTATCAACTTTTTCCTTTTCTAACCTTTTATCATAGTAAATGGTGTCACATTTTGGTCTGAACAAGTGCAATCGGGCATTGCATGTTGAATATTCAATGCGGTAAATCAGTAATTCAGTGGTGGTAATAGAGGAGAAATGCACTTGTACCTGCATGGCTTCTACCATTCTACCTTTCTTTCACTCGGCTGAACTCAAATATCTGTCACAGCTTGGATGCTAATTAGCAACTGAATCAATCCTTGTCTCATAAATTGTATTTCACTGAGACTGACCAAGATCAAAAAGCTCAAAGCAAGGCTTAAATCAAATCCAGGAAATTTTGACCAGTTTCTGCAGCAGACCTTAATGTAAAGTAAATGACTTTTATAGCAAACATCTTTTGGAAAAGTATTGTGACATTGTTGTGATTTTAGTCTTCTCTGAATAAATGACTTAATATTTTGTGTACTTGGCTTACTTTGATTCCAGGTTTAAAACCACCAGAATAATGCACAACTTACTAAATTGTCTCTAGGAACATGGCCACAGTTAACAACAGAAAAGTGATCCATCCTCAACCACTTTTTTGGGGCAGCTACTGTATGTATAGATTAGTAACATGGTGTGAGCTTGCTGTACTCATTGAGAGGATAATGTGATTATGGTTGTCACTTCCCACTTGAGATGGGCATCACTGACTAGTTAGCATTTTATTACCATCCCTAAGCTGCCCTCTTTAAGGGGATAAGCTACTGTGAACTGCTGCACAGTGCTCAATGACAAGTGACAAGCTACAGTGACAAGAACCAAGGTTCAGTTCCACCCTTGTCTGTTTTATGTGGTGTTTGCACATTCACCATATCTGTGTGGGGTTTCCTCATCTCTGGACTGTGGGCAGGCTAGGTGGATTAGCTATGGGGAAATCCAGAGGTAGATTTTCAGGGGGCATATACCTCCCTGGGTAGGAGGGGTCAGTGTGGACTTAATGGGCCAACAGACCTGCTTCCATACTCTGGGGACTTCATGCCACTTGTTTGTAGGCAGACCACAAGCCTTTTAAGGAGAATTCCTGGATTTTGATCCCTTCAATAGTGAAGGAAAAGGGTGGGCATTTTCACTCAATGGTGAGTGGCTTGGAGGGGTACTCTTACAAGTGGTGCTGTTTCCCACATAACTAATGCTTGTCCCCTTTCAAGATGGAAGTGGTCATGGGTTTGTCTAAGGATTTTCCACATTGTGGAATGAATGGATGTGGCACCAATCAAGTGGGCTGCTTTTCTTGTCCTGGATGGTGGCAAACTTGTGTGTAGTGCTAATACTTGAGGCAAGCAGGGAGTATTCCATCACACTCCACACTCTTGTCTTGACCACTGTAGCTGGACAGGCTTTGAGTCAGAAGTTGTTACTCATTGCATTTCCTGGCCTCTGAGCTGTTGCTCAATTCACTTTTAGTAGTGAGTTGAATTTTGGGTGAATAGTTACACCCTCTGGATGTTAATAGGATTCAGTGATGGTAACAACATTGAATGTCAAGGACAGAAGTCTCCATCTCATTGGAGATGGTCCCTGCCTGGCATTTGTATGACAAGTTACTTGCCAGCCAAAGCCCAGATATTTTGGATGTTGCTGCATTTGAACATGGACTACTTCAGTACCTAGGGCACTGCAAATGGTGCTAGATACTGCTGATTGCACAGACATCCCCACTTCTCACCATTTGTGATGGAGGGTGGGTCACTGAATGAACAGCTGAAGATGGTCAGACCCACAACACTACCTGGAGGAACTCCCTGCTGAGATGACAGATCTCCAGCAATCCTATTCCTATCTGCCAACTATGACTAACCAGTGGAATGTTTTTGTCCTCCTGCCCTTTTTACTTTTTTCCTTTTCCCACCTTCCTTCTTTCCTCTTTAATCCTTCCCCAACAACCCAGTCATTAGTTCCAGTTTTGCTAGGGTTGTTCCTTGATGCCAGACTTAGTCAAATATGGCCTTGGTGTCAAGGACTGTCACATTCACCTTCCCCTCTGGAATTCTGCTCTTATCAGTGTTTACCAGCCTTGGTTCAATGAGGCCAGGAACTAAGTGGTCATGGTCAAACCCAAACCATGTCAGTGAGCAGGTACTACTTGGTAGTACTGTTAACACCACCTTCACTTTACTGATTGGAAGTAGACTGGGGCAGTAATTGGCCAGGTTTTTTTTTAAATTTTTTAAAAATCCTGCTTTGTGTGTACAAGACATACCTGGGCAATGTCATGCTCTCACGTGCACTCTCTCTGAACACAGTACCAGTGCCAGCATGTTGTCAGGGCCGATTGCCTTGGCACTATCCAGTGCCTCCAATTGTTTCTTGATCATGTGGAGTGAACCAAATTGGCTGAAGACTGGTATCTGTGATGCTGGGAACTACTAGAGGCTGAGATGTATTACCTAAGGCAATAGACTTTTTTTTTTTTTGCTGTTGTTATCCCAGCATTTTGTTTTAATTTTATATAATTTAAAATCTGTCTCTAAACCTAAATCTTGCAGCAATGCTGTATGTGAGAGGGGAAATCTAACATTTAACCACTAGAAATGTTTAATTTCACTCGGAGGCATTTGTGTTTTAATATAACAATGCACCTTCCCAGTTTTGTCATCTGCATACCAAGATCCAGATCATTAATATATCAGAAAAGGTAAAGATCCCAATACTGACCTCTGTGGAGCTTCACTACAGACCTTTCTCAAACCTGAAAAATATCCATTGTCCATTACTGTTTCCCATCCTATCACAGCCAGTTTTGCCTCCCACTGGTTGGTCCATAGAGTTAGATTGGCAGCACACAAAAAGGGACATTGCATCTGTGCACACCCTCCACTGTTATCACATCGCTCGTACAATACTACAGGTACAATCAACTGTTCCAGCATAACCGTCGTGATCTTGAATACTTTGCCTCACTAATTGGCCCTTTGCCTTATCCCATCTCTTTTATTATTTATATGGCCATAGAATACTTTGGGACACCTCTTTGTACCATACTCCTTCCAAGATTACCATATCTTCCTTTTGTATCCAGCATTGCTCACAGACCAACAGATGTGGCCTAAGCAGGGACTTCTGTCTTGTTTGTTGAGTGTCGCTTGAAATTCATATCTTGGATTTGTGAGGGTGTTGTTATAAATCAAACTGATACATAAGGAACTAGTGTGGGTCAAACAAAAGCTTCAGCTGATCTAGAAAACTGAATTCTGCAGCAATAATTTAGAAGTGCCTTCAGGATGGATCAATCAGGCCATGAGACTGTTATTTTTTTCAAATGAGCTATGTAAAACAGTAATATTACTTGGTTGGTTCAGTCTTTAAAATCAAGTAGTTGAGTTAGTAGACCATGACTGTTTTTTATCTGAAGGCACAAGACAAGGCGCAACTAGCTGAAGGTTTTAACTTCCTGCTGTCAAATGATTCTTAAATGCGCCCAAAGCCACTGCATGACCTTGGAGAATAAGAATTGCTGTTTAATAGGGATCGAGAATTTGAGAATATCTAAGTGCAATGTTTGAATTTAAAGCTTTTTTACTTGAGTTGGAATTTGAGGGGCAATTGTAATTACTTCAGTAAGGGCTAGATGTGATACAATCATGCTGCAAAGCAAATATACACAACTTCCTCAAAAACATTGCAAGATGACTGAGCAACATACTTTCTCAACTTTCTACTCGAGAGTAGAATTAATGATTGGCAAAAATAAGACGGAAGTCCTATGGGTTTTAAAGTTTCAAGATGGTGTTGAATTTGGGTGAAAATGCATTGTGTAAATATCTATATAAAACAGCCTCCTGTTCCATCAAAAAATGTCTCATGCCCCTTGTTCTGGATTGTTTCTCTACCACTTTGGCAACTACAAATATTTACTAATAAATTATGAACCGTTTTGAACATGTGAAATGAATGGAAATCTTACATTTTACAAATTACTGATTAGATTAAAAACGAAGAGACAGCAAAGTAAAAGTATCTGATTAGTCTCTGTTATCAGTTATCTGGAATGGCATTACAGATCTTTGTACAAACGTAGATTGGAACTAGGAGATGACAACTTTCATGATCAAATACTGGTGGGAGATGCTTACTAATCAATTGCTTCTCACAAAGGCACTCAGGATTTCCAGCATCAAGGCCAGACCATTTGGCCTCAGGAGATCAGGAAAAAGGTTTTCCAGAGTAAGGGCCCTGTTCCATTTGGAGCTGATTTTTCCAGAACAGAATTGTTCCAAATACATCGGAGTCTTTGACTTTAAGACTGCCTGCCCAACCTTCCAAGAAGAGGCCACTACGTTATTATGTACAGGCTCTATAAAATGTGCCAGTTATTAAGATCTTAATTAGGAACAGAATTGGTTGCAACTGTTATGTAACAATTCTTGTCATCAATTTGACTCCTGCATAATCTCATAGAGGTGACAGCATGTCCTGGAACTGACACAATGGGATTTGCTTCTTGTTTTCAAGCCCCCATTGCCTCCTGACCCTTTGCCTTTGACCATTGAAAATTCATATTGTGCATACATATTGTAGACTGTAGAGTGTTCTCATATTGAACAAGAATTTAAATTACAAAACTGCCTCAATGCAGTGCAGTATTGTGTGATATTCAAGTACAGAGTTTAGCCATATTTCTAAAAGCTCTTTCCTGATTTCCTAATGTGAATTGCCTGCACTTGTTAATTGGAATAATGGTTTTACAAAATTACTACACTGTGGGTTCATGTACCTTCCAGGGAATGCAGCAGTTCAAGAAAGCAACTCACCACCAATTTCTCAAGGGCGATTATGGACAAATACCGGCTTAGCCAGTGACACCCACGTCCTGTGCATAAATTAATTTTAAAAAAGTCTTTCTTCATCTGGACAACCTGCTCCAACAGCCACACACCAAAGTGACTTTGAGCAGATTGTTATTAAACAGCAGAGTTGCATTTATATCAAAGGCCTTTTGTTCCATCTTCAGGAGTTTTTGCAACAACATCAAATTATCTTCAATTATTTCAGTGGCACCACTGCCAAATGCATTAAAAATTTAATTATCTCAATTTACAGCACAGAAGTACACAGTATCTTCAGTGTACTAACCAATAAAGCCACCTGCCTTTCAAAGTCAACAAGGTGCAGGGCTGGATGAACACAGCAGGCCAAGCAGCATCATAGGAGCAAAA